GTTATTTATCTGACATGGGAGGACAGAGGCCACCCAGGCCCAGTGTAAACAGCCACACTCGCGTTGTGTACAATCACGTGACTGCCGACCTTTCCCCCAGTCTCCCGGGACTGTGTACCTTGGCTCAGGACCTGGTCACTCCCCTGCTCCTCCTTGTAGGGGAAAGGTTGGGTCCACAGAACACCATCCCAGGGATTTTTGGATTGCTTTGACATGATCCTTCCATGATCCCATCCTGATTTTTTTATTGGCCAATCATGGGGCTTGAATTCTGGACCTGGGCCCTGTCCCTGAGCTCCTTTTTGTGAGCATTCTATGGATTTGAGCCACAGCGCCGCTTCCTGTTTTCTGGAGGCGCATTGGAGATGAGGCTCTCACGGACTTTCCTGACCCGCCTGTGAACTGCGATCCTCTAGATCCCAGCCTCCTCAGTAGCTAGGATGACAGGCGTGATGCCACCAGCACCTGGCTGGCTCACTGAGTTTTAGGGGGCTGGAATCCACTCAAAAACCACAGTGGCCAATTCAGAGGGAAAAGCAGGCAAGATCACCTCAGAAACTGCGCAATCCTGGCCATCACTGCCCCGGCTCCAGGCTGAAGCACGTTGCCTGTGAACAAGGAAAGCCTTCTTCAGTGCTAAGGAAGCGCTCTGAGCGCTGAAGGTACAGCTGTGAGCCGCAGACAGGAGGTATTCCAGATCATTCTCCCACCGGCTGTCTGGGTCTCACACACAAGCTCCTGGAGTCAGGAGTTTCAGTCAGATACCTCTGCACCATGCTGTCCCCCAAAACTGCACAGATGGGGCAGGAGGCCTGTCCTTCACATAACCTGAGAACCCGACACAGAACGTAACAGCCAACAGACCCGAGCCCAGGGTGCGGGGAATGAGGCTGGTGTGTGTACACGCACCAGTGCCAATCCTGGGGCTTGAACTCAGGGCCTGAGCGCCGCCCCCGAGCTTTGTGCGCAAGCCTGGTGCTCTGCTACTGGAGCCACAGCTCCACTTCCAGCTTTTTGCAGTTCAATGTGAGATAGGAGTCTCATGGACTTTCTTCCTGTCCAGGCTGGCTTGGAACTGGGGTCCTCAGGTCTCAGCCTCCTGAGTGGCTTGGAACTGGGGTCCTCAGGTCTCAGCCTCCTGAGTCGCGAGGCTGGCAGGCGTGAGCCACCCGCGACTGGCTCGTTATATGTCAAGGGAATCGGCGCAGGATGGGACCAGGCCGTAGGCTGAAGGTAAAGGCTGAGATCAAGTCCCAGCTGTGGGGCAAATGCTCGGGGCCTCAGTGTCTCCCCGTGTCAGCGAGAAGGCTGGAGTAGACAGACTTTTGTCTTGTCTGCCTTGCATCCTGGCCGAGACAGGGTGTTCATGTGAGCAGGCCTGTCATCCCAGTGCTCGGGAGGCTGAGATCTGAGGACGGAGGCCCCCAGCCGGCCCGGGGGAGGAAAAGTCCACGAGAACACTTACCCCATCATCGGCAAAAGACCAGGACGTGGAGCTGTGGCTCAGGGGGTAGAGCACCACCGGCCCTGGACGATGATAAAGCTGGGACAGGAGCTGGGTTCGAGTCCAAGCCCCAGTGCCGGCGCATGCGCACACACACACACACACACACACACACACGTTACACGCGCTCCCACCCGTGTGCACGCACAGCCCTCCTCCTCCGGCCCTTGCACTCGGCCTGTCAGGCCGGGCGGCCCTGCTCCCCCGGGAGGAGGGTCAGGGTGGGGTCATCGGCCGCCTTTCCCCTGGGCAGATCTCGGGGTTCAGGGTGTCGGGGACCCGGGGCCTCACCCACGGAGATGTCCCCCAGCTGCTCCGGCCTCAGGTTCACGTCCTGCAGCACGGCGGTCATCACGGCCGACAGGAGCTCGTCGGGGGTGGTGTCCTGCCGGGAGGGGCCCAGGATGGGTGAACCCCACTTTCTCATCCGCACCCCCAAGTTAAGAAAACTCCCCAAGCCCGTCCTGGGGACCCATCACCCTCGGCCCTCCTCGGGGAAGGGATCGGGGTCTCCGTCTGCCCAGGGTCCCCCACTCCGCCCGATCCCGGGGTCCCCCCTCCGCCCGGCCCTGCCCCGCGGTCCCCCCTCTCCGCCCGGTCCCGGGGTCCCCCATCCGCCCGGTCCCGGGGTCCCCCATCCGCCGGATCCCGGGGTCCCCCCTCCGCCGGATCCCAGGGTCCCCCCTCCGCCCGGTCCCGGAGTCCCCCCTCCGCCCGATCCCGGGGTCCCCCTTCCGCCCGGTCCCGGGGTCCCCCATCCGCCGGATCCCGGGGTCCCCCCTCCGCCCGATCCCGG